TACTACACTGCAAAAAATGTCCACCTAACCAAGTTTCAAAATCTTATATCAGCCAAAAAGTCTTTTTGATCTTGTTTTGAGACTGATTTACTAAACAAGAACTGATTGTGTAAGATTGTGTGTATTTTCTGCCAATGGAGTAAGAAAACTTTACTTGGTAAGATTCTTGAAATACTTGATTTGACTCAATTTTTCTTATTTCAAGAATCTTATCGAGAAAATTTTCTTACTCCATTGGCAGAAATTTTGACCTAATTTGAGTCAAATTTTCAGACTAACAAGATAGATAATCTTACACATTCTGTAAACAAGATGATTATTCTTACACAATCAGTTCTTGTTTAGTAAATTAGTCTCAAAACAAGATCAAAAAGACTTTTTGGCTGATATAAGATTTTAAAGCTTGGTAAGATGGACAGTTTTTGCAGCGGACAGATCTTGAGAGTTGTTTGAATTTTATTTTTTTAATCTTTAGGCATGTTTCCAAAAACGTCAATGTTCCTGCATGCAAGAGCAGCTGAAGTTAGTGTTTTCAACAATAATACAAATCTTTTCTTTAATAATTGACGTGATTTTTTTTCCCTTTTCGGCTATAATTGTTTTATAAAGCTTGCTGAAAAATACCTCTTCTAAACAACTTTAACAAAAATATATTTCTCCACGTCCTTCACTGCCAGAAACCCATTAACCCAGGAGTATATCCCATCTGGACCAGAGGACTACATATGAGCCATTTATTCAGGTAAGTGAATACTAATCTTTTATAATCTGGCAGTAAATGCTTTTATCTGTAGACAAATTGTTGCTGGGTAATTGCTGGGTCATTGACTGCATGGGAGGGGGGCAGAACAGAATGTGCCTTCAGTGCCYTGGACCACCAGCAAGAACTGTTCCAGCCTCGAGTATAAACGTTATTATTCATTTGCTACCAGAAGACTGTCGAGGATGTGATGTTTTACATTCACAACATCTGTCTGATGACAAGCATTTTATAACTGGATTATATTAAATATGATCACAATCTTTCTCTTTGAAGATACGGACAGAAAGACGGTCATATTGAACAGGAAAAAAAATGRGTGAACAGACTATTTAAGTAGTTTTTGTGTACGTATTAGTCCAAGTTTTGTTAGTTACAATAAAGTAGAACAAATATACTCCACAGCTACAAATAATGCATTTTGTTTAGTGGGACCAGCTTACAGAAGTGTCCTTTACGACAAAGTTAACGTTATGAATGTTACTTTTTGCTATCATTTTTAGAAACATGTTAGTGGAACGGTATACACTATCTGCTTAGTAACAATAAATTACGATACAGAGTGCCAAACAAAGGGAAGTGAATTCTTACAGGGATGTAACTTTCAGCATAGACAACTCGCCCCACTGTTTTTAATTTTTTTAATTATTATTTTTATTTTTCTGAGTAACAAAACTTGCCCTTTTAAACATTTTACGATTGTTAAAAATAAATGTGGAGTGTGGAGCAACCAGGCACATACATACTGTAAATGTTAAAGGGATCCACGATTAGTTGTAACATTA